AAAGACCGACTTGGCTAGCCCCGCTTCTTAAACAGTACGAGCAGTCATGATAACACTCTTGTTGCTATCATTGGTTTTCAACTACCATCGCAGAATAGTTTTCCGTTTTTTTTCTCGTTTCTGTAACGTCCCTGTGCACCACGTTCATTGTACTTGTTAGCTACAACATCTTTGCCAGAAGGAAACAGGAGGCAAAGAGAGCCTGGTTAACCAGATGTGACCGGCTAATCGGTGCCATGCCATGTCCTGCTCCGCGCGTCTCCAGGACCGCGACAGACCAGAGAGACGGTAGCGATATAATAGGGAAACGCAGAAATTTCTAGATAGCATCTTCTCATCTTGTTGAGGCTGCTGGAGTGAATCATACGCGCCGCATTTAGCCCTTCCGCCCGCCTGTGCAGGCCAGCACACGACTAACAGTTCAAACGTCAATCAGGTCAAACCATTCGTGAATGAGAAATAACTAGAGTAGGAGCAGCATCAGCCAGTACCTTATTTGTGGCGCTTTTCAGTTCTGTCGAATGAAATGAGCCTATGTATTCTCCTAAGTATGATAGAACTCGAGACAACTTCTTTAAGGAAGACCGATTTACTGTGCACAACAAAAAAAATCGTTTTTGGCCTGAAAACTTATGTTGAATGTTTCTGTCCATTAACTAGAAGGAGTGACTTTCCAGCTGGTAGCAGGCCAGCACAATGTCACACCGCATTGGTACGGTTCAAGAAAAGCTGATCTTAGCTTAATAATCGTATAAATCGAATACGCACTATAGTTGCAAAATTAAATATGGAAGTCTATTCCTGTAATTGTATAGAATTGCAGTCTTCACATACACATGAAGGTGCACATATGTGCGTTCTGTGAAATTGGATAAGGGATTATCGTCGGGTGAAGTTCTATGCACGCACACAAGCCTGGTGGACGAACAGCCGGATAGGCCGAAGTCGGACGAAGAGGGTGCTCTAAGTCAGTATTCAGATGGCGCTGAGGCGCTCCAGGGCTGCAAAGATGCTCCAACTGAATAGAGTTCGCTTTTTCTGCTGCGGCTGCTGCTGTTGTTGAAGTTCCTTCAATTTAAGCCCCTTAGGCTGAAAACACTCATTCTTTTTCTTCTTTCGTCGTCGTTGTTTTCTGTCGAGGATCGATCATGTGCAGGATGTGCGGATCAAGAGATTTGACGACTTCACGCTTGTATTCGTACTCCCCGCCAAACGTTCACACTATTGTGCCCGAGCTATAGGCATCGCCTGTACTACTTTTGCTTGCCTGAACTCGTTCGCACCTCCTTCACATCCCGGACGGATCGGATCGGCCCGGACACCAGATCGCTTTTGGCGGTACCACGCATCGACGCACGACGGTAACAACATCGATGGCGACGACCCGCTAGCTGCTACCTACCTTTGAAACCTCTGGCCTAAGGGGACGCACCAAAACTTATCTCCTTTCCCGGCCTTCACATCACAACGAGTGAAAACGTATCACGTCTTCATCACATGACTGCAACGCTAATGATGCGGCCCATTCCCCTCATTGTCGACTTCAATTACGTCGACCTCTTGATGACTCCATATGACACGACACCATACGCCGAACACGTCACTGTTAACGGCTGTATACGATATGACGAGCATGTGGCAGGGTGATTCGTCGGCGGCCAATCCCTGTCGAACTTCGGATCATCCCATCACAGATCGTTCTCATAATTATTATTACACACTAGCCACAATAAGCAGGAGTTACGGTCGGGCTTTTAGCTGTCGAATCACGCAGACGATTCAATCATTTTGAACGTTTTCCTCCAGTTTTCTCTCTTTCAATCACATGTCGATTGCAGCCGTATCATATGTCCAATAAAAAAAATTACCAATGAAAACGCGAATTATCTACGTGTTTTTTTTTTTGCATTTTAGCATTTGCTTCCCGTCAGATGGTCACCTAGAGCCTCATCCGTTTTGTTGTTTGATTGCGTGCGTCACGCGCCCGTTTTTCTTCATTGGTCCGATTTCTAAGCGGCAGTCTATATGCTATACTGGCCATCAATGATTATTATGAAGTTACTAATCCGCTGCACAATACCTGCATTTACCTGCTACAGAAATGCTTTGAGTATTATATGCCATTGGAAAATTCTGGTCCAAAAGCTTTACGGGCTATTGAGCGCCTTTAGAAAAGTAATTCTTGTTAGATAAGGCTATGTGATTTCTTGTGTAGCGCTAATCATACGTGAAACTAAACGCTTTTTTACATTAGAAAACATGTCATACATAATTGGCATTGTCCACGTATCAATGTTCGGAGCTAAACGGGATCAGCCTACGCCGGATACTCGAGCCTTAGAGAATGGAGGGGAGCTTTACACGTAACATTTCAGTGGACAAAGCACTGGGGTAGAATCACACCTCACAAGCGGAAAACTCATATAGGGAGCAAACAAAGACAAGCATGACTCATGTATAAGCTTAATGCATGCAATAGCATAGGAGGTCCTCGCGAGTCGTACCTCGTACTAAACGGGAAATCCAGTAGAAACGAAGAAGAAACCTTCAGTTGAAAACGGTTGACGTTGTTGTTTAGCGATAAATTACAAAATCAAACGATCGGTTAGCTTTGATAGTCAACCAATCGATCGATCGATCGATCGATCGATCGATCGCCGCTGTGGACATGCTCTGCGCAGGCAGTGTTCTTACTCGACGCGATCACTCTACTGTTTCTGCTGGCGCGGTCGTTCAAGGCTTTGTCTCGAGGCGCGGTTGTTTATGGGCCTGTCAGGTCGCCCTGGCCAGTAACGTGTGACACTAAGACAGAGTAGTGGGTCACTCATTTGGTTAGCCTGTTAGTGAGTCCAATAGAAATCCAAAAAAAAGGGCAGCGGTCATAGATATTTACCTGACAAAGGCCACCCGCTGTGATTGAGGCAAATCATTTACGAGCGAAGTCAGTCTCTCTGTCTTGGCGCTGTGCTTCTGAGACTGCGATGCCAGTCGTCGTCGTCGTCGTCGTCGTTGTTATTGTTGTTGTAAGTACACGTAAGTGTGCTGGCGGTACGATGTTTTCCAGCTAGTTCAAAATTGCTTAGCTAATTCTTTCTCTCATCTCGTCTACACATCCATTTCATAGAGAAACATTGGCCTGGCATCGCGTACGAACAAGCTGTCATGTTTGGCTAGACTAAATGACTGTTATTGAGTGTACTGGCGGTTTTATCTAGCCATTGCAGCGGTATAGTTGGTTGTAGCGATAGTATCCAGTGTGTCGCCATTATTCACTAGGCCACGAGCAAATCTATACTATATAATCATGAGCGTGTAGTTATTACCATCAAGCGAAAGAGTAGAAAAACAGCAGACACACTTTGGTGCTCTTGCTGCCGCTGTTAGCGTAGAATATCATTACCGTCGCATAGAACCAATGCATTCAGGCCGTCCTGTAGACATCGGGCGTCGGTCAGGGTGCCAGTCAAACTTGAATCTGCGAAAGAATGCTATGCATCTAGCAAGACCAAGGTATGTCGGACCGGCGCTCCGACGCTGGCGCTCGCACACGGCAGAGACGGTGGATGATAATTCAATTAGTGGTGCCATTATTATCATCGTCATCCACAGGAACTGCCGGAGCAGCAAGGTGATTGTCACCATAACTCGCACCATCACCACTTGAACATCGGGGTTCATCACTACATTCAAGCAATACCCTTGTCCTCTCCCTTTTACTAACCCGGTTGTGCACACTAAGCCACGGCCGTCGCCGTCGTTAGCCAATACGTTGACTGCTCACCTACATCGGATTCACTCAGGTATAAGGAGAGAAACGGAAAAGTGAAAGAACCGCCCACAATCTCGCCATAGTCTCTACACATCTCTGGGTTAATTTTTTTGTGTCGAACCAATATAGCCCCTCCCCCCTCGTGAACGCCCGCCAACCCGCCGAGCAGATTGACGATGGTGATGGTTTGCCTTGGGTCCGAATTCTTTCTCTCCTTCTCTCGCTTCTTCCGGAGACTTGAACGAAGTGTCTGGCTGATCTGTCCGCGATGTCGGACATGGACCTAGAACAGAGCGGCAGATGCATATCCAAAAAGTGAAAGCAGCAGTAATTTGCAGCAAAAACAGCGGTAGTAAGGCGTCAGAGGAGGGGCGGCGAATAAGTGCATTTTGACGGATACCTATCATCCCGACGGGTTGATCGATTGTTGAACAGCGGTAGTAGGTCGTCGAATACCGGACAACTACAGCGAGTAAAACGCATCCCGGCGCGCCCCACGCTCCGCAACAGCAGCAGAAAGAACCTAGACAGGGATCTATGGCCACACGCAGCAACAGAACATATGGTGATTACGGATCGGTTTGTGGACGACGAGCAGCTAGCAGCAGTCGCCCCTCGCGGTCGAGTCGTGGCGACCACACGATTTCTACATAGAGGTTCTACAAGCAGTCATACTGTGTTATACTCTTTACACCGCACGAGCAAGCTGCTCCTCTAATTACCTTGATGAATTTAAGACTAGCAGTGCCATAGATCGCCTGGCAGGCGTTGATGTGGCTACGAGCGTTCGTTCCTGCCGGCGATACAGTACGGGCCATATGCAAATTCTCCTACGCCTGTGCGGTGCTAACAAAGGTCGAGTCGGCATTCGATACATTTAAATCCGTATAGAAGTTTTGCGCTGTATGACACAATCAGCTCAGGCTGTTACCTGAGCAAAGGGATAACATTTGGTTGGCCTGCGAAAGTCGGACTGAATCAATCTAATATATATCCCGAACGCATGTGAACGTGTAATAACAGAACGGCGTGCGTCACACTTGTCACCCAAAAAAGGAAGCGAATATGACAAAATACAAACAGTAGTCAGCCAATTGGCGCCAAGTGTTTTTACGCGTAAGAACGTGGTCAAAACTTTTTTGGCCGAAAAACAATTTTGTTGGAAGTTAGCGAGATTGCGTTTACGCTCTATGTGTAACTATGCATTATTTTCTTGGTTGTTGTGTTCCAGGACTGAACGGTGGATCCGGAACCCCATCGTCGTGGCGCTCTTCGGATGGAGGATGCACCACGCCGGAGGAGGCGTCCTCGCTATCGCCACTGGCATCATCGTGCGAGACGCCCGATGGTCAGGACCTGCCGGATTTCGGCTACACAATCGGCGTCACTGAGAACACGCCATACGCCTGCCAGTTCTGCGATAAGGCCTTTCCCCGTCTAAGCTACCTCAAACGGCACGAGCAGGTACTGCATCCGCAGATTTACAAGCAGGTACACAGAACGACTGCTTGTTTTATATATATATACACCTCTTGAGTCATGTTAGCATTCATCGATTATTCTATTGAAAGAGTCATACGAGCAGATATTTTGTAAGACATTCAGAGTTTGAGTATTTTGGAATCGTTGTCGTCATGCTTCTGTAAAGCGAGCTTCTCTAGCACGAAACCGCCTTCGACTAACGCGTACAATTATGGTAAGTGCTGGTTGGGGAATCAGACTTCTTTGTCACTTTCGAGCGGCGTATTTTGCTGCCATGGTAAACAATGCAAACTTAGAAGCAACCAAGAACATGAACAATTGAAAGCAAGATTGCCAAGCGTTTGTACTTCTTTTCTATATATCTATCAGTCAGATACAAAGCAACTTCGGTCCAAAGTTAAGCTTTAGCCCGTTACGAGGCAAATGTTACAGATCACATCTGTAAAATACTCATTCTTATGAGTTTGCGCAACAAAGTTGCCGAGAGCAACAAGTAAAAAAAAACGACAACAGAATTCGGTGGACTACGGATCAGGAACTTTTGTGGCTTATCATCACAACTTCTTGTCATAATCTTCTTCACTTTGTTTTGTCATTTACTGGGCTGTTAGCAACAGATTAAGCGCGACTAGTAACGGCAGGGCTAGTAACGGTGATATCTCGTCAGCATCTTTCGGAGCGTTTCCGCGACGCGACAACTTGCTTTTACGTTTAAGCAATGGCGAAAACAACAACATAAGCGTCTCACACGTAAACAGTGTGAAATCAAATAAGACAAAATAAGCGACTGGCGCGGGTCCGGCAAAGCCACGCGTCGGATACATCCGCCCATCTCGGGCTTGTTGAGGTACAAAAGGTCACAAAGGTGGTTTGCTGGCGTTGACGATGTCGACGGCTTCTGTATGGCTTGGTGAGCCACATCAGTATATTTAGGCATCCCAACTTAGCTATGTGACTTAGCGCAAGTTCACTCCTGACGCTACGAAACAATTCACTTCAGAAATGTATACCAGCCAAGAAACGCTGGTCGTTACTACTGCTGATGCCGGCTTATATAGGGGTAGCGGTTGTCGTGATAGAAATACTGATTGTGCATAGTAGTGACCAGAACGGCTGCCAGATAATGAATACTACTACTTGCTTCTGCTTGCTTTATACTGCTGCCTATTTAGTCCAGCGTATTATATATGAATTGATAGTCGGCGTTGACTAGAATCAGTTACTCCTGTTAACGCCGTCGCAGTCGAAACGAAGCAGGCAACGAATTTGCAGCTGCATTATCAGCTGCAGCCCTAAACTTAGAATCGCGCCCTGCTCAAAAGCTCAGTGCGATCCCAGAGATTGGTCTGGGTTAAGCCGTACGTAAGCGGACACACACACACACACACACACACTTGCATTCATCGAGAGTAGGACTTCCAATTCGACCTATTCGTGTTCGATAGACCATCCGCCCTTACGGTCGCAAGCAAGAAAAAAAAACAGCGCCGATCAAAAAACCCTTTGCTTCCCTTCCCCGTTTGTGTTTTTGGCAGTCTCCAGACGGGGCTATTTACTATTATCTCTTTTTCTGCTACCAAGATTGTTGATATTTCGAGCGAAGGAAACCAGTTCAGTTTAGTCACTAGCACGGACCGGTTACTAATCATCGGCGGAACAGTCGAGAGCCTTTAGTCCAATGTAGAGAGTAGTACAATGACTGTATCCTCCTACGAGCTCAAAGTATATATATTATGATCCTTGAAATTTAGGGCTGATGCGCACCGCCTGTCTGGCTATTTGTCTGAGCAGGAAGAACAATTGAAGCTCGGGGCGTTTAGAGTCAAAAGTTGCTCGCGATTTAATGAACCGTGTTCTTCGTATATGTGCGCAATTGCTGTCCTTTTTTGGTTCTCACTTGACGCGAACAAACAAGCGAGCCAGAAGTCCTCTGGCGATTAGGGAAGACAAAGAAGAAAAATAGCACTTGCTTTGCTGGTCGCCGCCATCTTGCGACCGCCACCGCTGATGGCGACGCTGAGACTATTTCGAGAAATGTTGTCACCGCGGACAATACACCGCAGGTGGTGATAGTAAGATCAGAGTGTAAACATTTTTCACCGTTCAGATGAAACGTGACCCACATTTGCGTAATTTGTTGATGCTTCTATTGCTGCTTAACACGAGCGACGGTTTCAACAATAATCACGCGGAGATAATTCCGCGTTGTTGTTGTTACATATCTCATAATGCATATACTACAGACATTTGTAAACGTGAGATTTGTCCTGCACCCTTTACTTCGACTAACCTGACGCGCTTGTCTAGTACGCGATGCAGCTGTACGTAGATGTCTATGCAAGCGATGCAGCGACAAAGTTTAAAAGGCAGTCGTTGTCTCCCGTAGGCCTCTGCCTATGATTTGGCGGGGATGTTATTGTAGAGGCGGGCGCGACGTGCAGACCTGGTTAAGGTTTTAATGAAAAAAAAAAAAAACTAGTTAGAAAGTATCAAGTAAGAACAGCGCTTGGGGTTATGATTATTCCATGTATTTATCTATATGGTCTTCGTCGTTGTTTCCAGAGCTCGATGTTGGCCATGTTGTGCCGTTGATGTTGTTTTGTTGACGTACAATTTCGGCGTGTGTCGCTTTTGTAGGTGCACAGTGACAAAATGCCGTTTCGCTGCGACTACTGCCAGCGGCTGTTTAAGCACAAGCGAAGCCGCGACCGCCATGTCAAACTGCACACCGGCGACAAGAAGTACAAATGCACACAGTGTGTTGCCGCTTTCTCAAGGAGCGACCATCTGAAAATCCACATGAAGACCCACGATCAAGGCAAACCCTACCAGTGCTCGATGTGTAATCGTGGCTACAATACCGCCGCTGCACTCACCAGCCATATGCAGAACCACCGTAAGAGTGCGGCCGAAACCCAGGTAAGACGATCAGCATCAACATCATATTATACCCTCTTCCCCCCCTTAGCCCCATAACGGTTAAAAGCTCCACAGCCGCAAGCATGAACAATGACTGACGTGTACGTATAATTTGAAGTATGTCAAGTCACTTAAATCATATAAATATCATCTCTGTTGTTGTATATTTACACACAAATGCGTCCAACTACAACAAATAGTGACCTTTTGTAAAAATACAATAGCAAGTTTATCATATGATAAGCTTTTCCACAGCGATATCACACTAGTAGCGTAGATGAAATATCTAAAAAACAAAGCTATCAGACAAAGTCGATAACAATTTAGTATCCCCATAATTATCTTATTTATATAATTAATATTTTATCTAATAGCGATCAATAAATGGAGACAGTGGAGACCCAACCAGCCAGCTCTCAGTTGGGACAATAAGTTATCACAGATCGCAGTTTCGCGAGCTGGCACTGTGACTCATCTATGCATAACGACAATTCTGTTAGTACACATATGCCAAATGGCGTTTATTGATTGTGCACAGCGTGAGAGCAGTGTTAGTCGATCGATGCTGCTGCCCGATCGGTGTGCCTGATGCCGCCACCTCGACGAGTCGTCGTAGTGGCGGAGTGAGTTGTCTCCGTCTAGTGTTTCTGTTTTATAGTAAGTGGGGGATGGCTCCCCGCCATGAACGCTATCTCAGCAGCATATCTCAATTTGTGTTCAATTCCTTTTCCATTGTTGCAGGCGCGAGGAGAGCCCCATGACCCTGCGAGGATATCAAGTCCTGTTTCCATGTTGAATCAACGACAATCGGATAGTCCGGATCCGACAACGCCGAGCCCGCTGCTCATGTCAACAATGTCAGCCATGCAAAGTTTAGCTACGCGTAAAGAGCGCTTGTCGCGTAGTCCATCGTCTGATAATCGTGGGCCCGTGCTCAGTTCCCCGTTGATTCCACCGTTCACCTCCTCACCGACGCCGCCGGTTTGCTCGATCTGCAGCCGGTCCGATTTCGGCACAATTGAAAACCTTCAACTGCATATCCAAGCGATGCATATGCCCCCTCCACACTTCCCAACGATGATGCCCTCGGCGATTTCGTCGCTTGTCGGTAAAAATTTCAACTTTAGTCTGGCACGACTTGCCGCCCAGAGGTTGTCTCCGCCAGAAAGTTCCGCTGCAGAAAGTTATAACTGTGACTACTGTCCCTTGAAGCTTCCGACGATGCACGCGTTGCATGCGCATGCGATAGCGGCACATTCGTATAACGAGATCCTGGCGAAAATTATCGAAGCCCGCGCCGCGATGGCCAGCATTGATCCTGTTAGTTGTCCGCAGTGTCGCGTCGATTTTCCTAATCGGCTCGCGTTAACCGAGCATATGCGTTTAGCACACACCGACTTAGGGACTGGTGGGCCTGGTCCATTTATCTGCTCGCAGTGCAGCCAGGCTAGTCCCGACTTCGAGTCGTTCCGTACCCACCTTGCATCGCATCTTGAGGGCATTAACAAGGTGTCACGGGTCTGCCCCGAGTGCCAGGCGGAATTCGGTTCGTCGCAACAGCTGGAAACGCACGTGGCTTCGCATTTCCTGCAGCAGACTGTCGAGTACAGCTGTCAGCCGTGCAATAGAGCGTTTAGTAGCAATGAAGAGCTGCAGAAGCACCTTATGGAATCGCACTCCCAAAAGTTATACCGATGCGCTCTCTGCCGTGACGTATTCGACACAAAAGCCGAAGCTCAGCAGCATTTTATCGAAAAGCACTCCGAGGAGGCTCGAGTCTTCCGTTGTTCAAGCTGCAAGAGCAATTACCGCTCAGAGCCGGAGTTCTCGCTCCACGTTCAAGTCACTCACTTGGCCAAAGCCTCACCCTATCGCTGTCTTCTCTGCAAGGAGACGTTTCCAAGTGAGCCTCTACTACAGAGGCATGTCGAAACTCATGGTCGCCAGTTCCCTTGCTCCATGTGCGACCAAGCTTTCCACGTCGAGTTTTTACTTGAGAAACATATGCAGAGCGCGCATTCCACACCCGAAGTGCACAATCTCTCGTTGACCATCAAGCCGACAAAATCCGCTCCGACAACCACGAACGGTGTCAGCCTTCTGTGTGCTTATTGTAATGAGAGCTGTAAGTCTCGCAGCGAGCTGGAAGCTCATATGAAGCTACACCCACATGGCTCGACCGGCGGGAAGCACAAATGTAACATCTGCGACGAGATTTTCTCAAATGTGTCCGCCCTCGCTGAACATAAGCTGACCCATTGCAAGGTGACCGTCGGCTCCACCTGCGCCATCTGCCGAGAGGTCCTTAAAACAGAAAAAGAATTTGCAGAACACGTATCAAACCACGGAGGCTCGGGAACGGGACTCCCGCTTCCATGCGTTATCTGTAGACAAACGCTGATGTCCGAGGTAGAATTGCAAATTCACGCGAAATTTCACATCGGTTCCTCGTCAGCCACCTCTGCCGAAGCTACGAAGGTAAGAATGTCTAATAAAGCAAAGTCTAACATTTCTGTATGAAGAGTCTCCAGCAAAAGCCCTCCTCGTGAAACCTTGCAGAATATTCTGGGGAAGTGTACAACATGAGCATCCAACATGACAGAGCTTTTAGCATAAGGAAGCTAGAATATATATTTTAGTACATGCTGTTACTGCAGAAATTATATAACAAGGATTAAAAGACCAAACTTAGCCCAAAAATGAATTTTACGTCCATTAGTAGTTTTAGAGACTTGATTACTTATTCTTCAGACTGAAAATATGAAATGTTTAACTAAAAGTTAGGCTTTTGTAAAAACAGGTTTACGTTTGTCATATGTTCAAAAATCAATCTCTTCAATAGCTAAAAAAAAATATGTGAAACTATTTTTAGACAAATCAATCGACTATATAGTAATTATACACGTATATATATATATATATATATATATATATATATATATAAAATTAGATTAAAAAAAATGATACCACTGTATTGGCTTTTCAGATATGTGAAATGTGTCATACACAGAATGATAACTTGGCTCGAGCTCCCAATGGCAAGATAAGTTGTCAGGAATGTTTCGAACAAGGTGTCAAACAAGCAAAGGTTGAAAAGTGCCCCGACTGTGGCGTCAAGTTCGAAAGTCGGACAGAGTTAGACAGACATGAGTGTAGACGATCCGAGCAACCTGCTGCTAAGAAATCAAAGCAGGTAGACACTCCCATTTCCAAGGTGAAGTCTCAGAATCTCGAATGTTCGAAATGCCACGTCGTACTCGATAGCGCATCCGAACTGGCGGCACATTTCGAAACTCATCGAGAAACTGCCGCGTCCGTCGCATCAACGCCCGCCTTTGAATGCATGCTCTGTCACGCCGGCCTCGACACGGCGGCCAATTTACAGGTGCATCTGATCGAGCACAACTTTCAAGGCTGTCACGGTTTCACGTGCTACTTCTGCAGCTCGATCTTCACCACGGCTCGCTCCCTAAGTAACCACCTGCCAATGCAACATGCAGTTGAGAATAAACCGTTCGATTGCACCCGCTGTGATCAAACATTCTACTTCCGTGCCGAGCTCGAAAATCACGAGCTTACAGAGCATCATGAAAGCTCTTCGACATCGGTGTCCGAGGAGCGTTCAGCGCTTGAACCGGAAGTCCAAATGACAGAGGATGCGGATGAAGAGGAGCTGGTCGTCGCCTAAGCAAAAACGGAGCAATAAGAACATTTTCTCGCCACAACTACCGAAACGAGTACTCCACAAATGGTCACAAACTCTGCATTAGGTGCATGTACCTTTAAATCATACGAGGCACCTCTCGATAGATTAGAACAAGCTCATTTTAACTGAGGGCTCATGCAGCACTTCATCAAAACGCTTACTCGACATGTCATTGGCTCGAAACAAAAAGACACGACAGACGTATCCTATAGAAGGCGAGTAATTTAGATATGCAATACGCAAACACCGCCTTCGACATATCGACAGAGAGTAGTCAATATTAGGATATATGCATCGTAATGCATCGTTAATGGAGGACATTCAAATGAATGGGCAAGGTGTTCACTAATGCTCACGATGATCAAAAAAAAAAAGAATTCTCCAAATACGAGCACAGACACACACACCGAGAACCATTAAAATGTACATATACGAGTGTAGACAGAAATCGAAACCCGGACGCCGTCTGGACGGCTGATGATGTCCTATTCATTAGATATAGGGATATGCATACGTTTTCTTTTTCTCAGATCTTTAAGTTAGATATGTATGAGCACACGATCACACGAAAGTTTGATCAGGCACGTTGCTAGAAAGGAGGCAAACAAAAGCAGGGTTTAGCTATAATACAATAGCGCAAGGGTAGCCCCTAGTAGCAACAGCATCGACAGCAACAGTACTAATTATATTATTATATGCATAAAATCGTGCGCTGCTGTACAGTCGCGCGGCAGACAGTCGGTGGGCCTCGCGTTGACAGCAGATGCTTTGGCAAAAAACGAAATATCACCTCTAATAACGACACAGTATCAGCCATAACGGCTGAAAGAAGCAGGACTAATTGGCCCTAATTGGACCAATTCGTATGTACAATAGGAAAGGTCGCGGCACGAGGGCGTCGATGCAAAGCTAGGACCGCAAACATCTGAGCGTAGATATACAGGCGTTCGTCGAGCCCAACCATCGCTCGTCACCAAACAGGGAACAGTAAATGCGTGGATCATATACTATAGACAATACAGTTCCATTGATGATTGACAAATGCAAAGTAAACAGCGCACTGTAAAGTATAATGCACGCACTGCGTGCATGCACTTCCTGCACGCCGTTAATAGAGTAGAATATTATATATACTGTTGACTCCGTCGGGTCAAAAACGAAGTCCCCGTTAAATCATTCCTGGTGCATGTAACTAATAACTTATTAATAAATACAATAGATATTATTAGTGGTATTATTATAAAAAGAGATAAGTGGAACCACTCTTACTGTGTGTGAGGTTTATCGTGATGAGTGGCTAAAGCCAGAGACAGACACGGGTGTAATGTCGTAGATAGAAATTAAAGAAATCTAAAAAATTATAACGCATTTAAATTAATCTATTTAATTAATAATAAAAGAGAGACATGGTGTATAAAATTCATATGAGTCATTATTTTGCTGGCTATGGTCGCTAGGTAAGTGTCACTGATTTTTAGCTGCAGTAGATGAGCAAAGGAAGCAGTGCTCTGTTAGCAGCTAATACCGAAAAATCGGATCCTGCGGATCGCGGAAGTTCATCGAGTACACGCCAATGTGCACGTTTTGTTCAAGTCCTGACGAGCCATAGACGAGGTTACACCCCGACAGAGATATCCCCTTAGGCGTCTATGATGCGCACACATGCTTTGTGAGCCCCTTAATGGTTCAACAATTTTCACTAAGAGCATTTATATGCACACGGGGGTGTACCTGTTCCACGGGGTCGCCTCAGATTGTTACTAGATAATAGATACGTTGTTGCTGCTGATAAGGAATAGGGTAGCTTAAATTGTCTAGGATACAAACCTGTTAGAAAAAGAAACAGCATTGTTTATACGAACGCGATCAACTACGCAGACTTACTCATAGGTTAGCCTCGGACCCATCTAGCCTGAAAGCGTAGAAACATAATCAAAGCTGTTTATAACACGTAGTGTATGAATACGCTATTGTTTTACGCTGTGCATTTCCGCGTTGATTTTACCAGCGGGCTGTTATTACTCAGTAACAAGGGCAGCCATACAGACAATTCAAATCACAGCGAGAACGTACAAATGATTCCGTAACGTAACAGCAAGCCGTAGAGAGCGCACCGGCACATCAGTACCGGACACGTGCAGGGCTGCAATGACGTCGTTAGCTGTATTTTTTTTTTCGTTGCTGGCAGTTTCGGTGGGCATTGTAGCCCAATAAGGCCTTTCGTCTCTGCCTGGCCATTCTAAGCTCAATTGTAGCTTCCGACGCGCTAGCGGTGGTTAGCTATCTGTGGCCGCAAGAACACCCGAACGTGAGGCGAAAATCCCGACGATGGAGACTTCGGGGGATTCCGTTATAGAAGTTATGAGGGAAGGAAGGGATTGAAAGTGCAAGTAAGTAGTTGGATTCGTCGGAGGCGTTCACTTTCTCTCCCCATTGACCCCCCTTGCCCTTTCTTCTTTTCAGCTTCTCCAAATCCCGAAAGGGCCATAGGTTAACCCTATGGCCCCTTGTAAAGATACACAGGCAGTCGGTTGAAGGAAAGGACGAAGGTGTATATGTATAAGAAGTGGCGGACGGCGACGAACAGCACAGGGTCAAAAAAGAAAAGAGAAAAACGGAGTGTACTACGTGTGTGTGGATAGAAGACGAACAGATGATTCTAGTGGAGTAACGGCGGCGCGGCGCCGCACAGCCATGGAGGAAACGATGGAGCAGCAGCGTCCACTGCCATAGAGTGGCCCTAATAGAACATAAAGAGAGGCATAAAGTGCGAAGAAAAATGAAGAACTGGAAAAAGGACTGGATGGAATGGGCAAATCGCGGAATGGGGCACTTGCACGCGGAAGACAGCGCTACCGAAAAACGAAACTTGTGCATAATGCAGCGGTCGTAGGCAGCCGTTGTGCTTGCTATATATCGTTACTTCAACTGCGGCTACAACATTTCTACGTGTGCCGACTGAGCTATAGTTGGCTATGTGTGTGTGCGCCTGTGCCTGCCGAACTTCCCCAGCGGCAACAGCAGTGATAGTGTAGTAGTAACATTGCTGCGGCACGACGGTGCGGAATCTGCTGTTATAGGCATCGCTTGCCACGACGGCCGGTATGACTCGTTGGATGACTGGAAATCTAGCAACATCGCCATCACCGGGAACAACGGGGAACACTCAGGGCAATAGGAGCTTTGAAGTCACGACTACCACAATGCTACACTGCGTGTGTATATGTGGCTAGTGGATACTCGTCTTTGAGCAAACCAAAGAAGAGAGCGTTGAGGAGGTGCCGCGTCTGCCGCCGTCGCAGCCCCCGGGTATTCGAGCGGCCAGGTGGGTAGTGGAGGAGTTAGTGTGGGAACAGCTAGCTCCCCGTCGACGAAGGTGGCGTTCGTTGGCAAAGAAATAAAAGCTGATTTAAAAAACAGCTCTACTTTTCCTCTCGCGTTCGTTCTCTCTCTATTTCTCACATTGACTTGGTGGCTCGCGTCGTCGTATTCGGCCATAAAGCGTGACATGGATGGGATCACGGTATGCGACTGAAGCACTGCAACAATAGTCATTCGAGTACCTGAGCTTCGCGCGAACGAGTTGTGCGCGGTCGCGATCTTTGTCCGCCTTAACAGCATCGGCCGCAACTAGCGCCGTCGACCCTTCTGCACTTAAAAGCAGAAAAGAAGACAGAACAATTGTGATGGTTTGTGCCGCGCGAAGCTGTTGCACAATCTACTTTACAGGGTCAACCTTTCTACGACTCTTGTACAAATATGTACATGTATGGAGCGAAGTATGTAGAAGAACGACGCCTACTCTATATGTATATATACATGGCTTATGAGTGGCTATGCCGACGCGGCCGCAAATACCCCTTTTGCCGCGCTCATTGTGGTAGTCGTGGTAAGAAAGAGATGTTCTACCTGCATGTACTAGATCGTGCGATGCCACTACTATGCGACACCATCTGCCGCTGGCAGTACACCTGCAATTGGAACAAGTCGACATATTTATTCTAGTGCTTTTTGAATGGCTAGTTGTAGTCAGGGATGGTCAAGTAGTTAAGAAGTCATTTCACCTCGGGCATACAGAATTGTTCCGTGCACGTTATACATAGGTTTGCATACGATCGTTTGGTTTTTTCGTTGCTGAGCACTCCTAAACGGCTAAGCGTGCACAGAGGTACGTGCAGACATTATGACAGAACCTGTTGTTTTTTTCTTCTTATTATTAATATTAGTCAAGAGGCGGAGATAAGAACGTTGGCTGACAAGACAGGCTGTTATTGTTATACGTAGTAAAAATCGGCCCTCGGATAATCGGTTATTAAGAAAGAGGTCTAACTAGATATAAAAAGTACATAACTAACAATGTTTACTGTGATCTGGAGTGGAGACATTTATTTCGAAAAATGAAACGGCGCGTCATGTTAACAGTTATTCGAAGGCAGAAAGAAAACAATTTCAAATCAGCTTACCTTTCCCTGCGTACCCTTGCTGCGTGCGAGCGAACTCAGACTGCGCCTGTCAAGTTGGGATAACTATTATGATCGTAACTATAAAATAGGCTACTTAAAATAATACGTTAATCTGTAATTAAAGGACAGTAAAATAAGCCTGTTTATTTATAGTGTAGGAAAAATCACAGGGTTCGAGAAAATCCACCTCTGAATACAGATTTTTTAGTTTAATACTGAGGTTGAGCATTACTTCAGATGGCCAACTTTTACTTTGACACTCGCGCGTCTACGACCGATTTCGAATCAAACCATTGCACACGTCCTCAGGTTTAGTGGGCAAAAACCCGTCATTACTGCACTACCAGAAAAAAAATCCTTCATTACTGCTTAAAGGCAGGACAAGTGTTCGTATTGAAGACAGCGAGCCCAGGACAATGCAGTTTTTGCGTACTACAAAATTGGCGTTTTTGCCCATTAAAGAAAAACCTTTTATAGCTGACACCTTTTTCCATAGCTGTACTCTCTGTGGCAGACTCCTTTGTCATTGTGTGGCATTGTTTGAAGAATCTGAAAATCGACTTAAACAATGTAGAACGGCAAAGCATAAAATGGAATCATTGTACTCATCACCTTTCCTGTCGCTGACTGAAGTATGCCCACACAGGGCGCCAAACCTAAGTCACTTGACATTTGTTAGGATTTCCAGCCAACCGATAGTGGCAGCGCTAGTGACCGTGTACGAAAAGTCCCGCCTTTCATGTATAGCACGGTAGTAGCGACGGCCCTAAGAACTGCAACGATCAAAACTCTTCGTCCGCAAGGGGCATAAGCATCGTGGGTTTATATGTCACTGATGCAATATCCTAGATAGCCAATAACCGATGAGAGAAGATAACACGATATTCAGTACTGTTGACACCTTACAATGTAGTCCCGCTCTTCGCGGGCTCTGGCGAACGACTCCAAAAAAAAAGAACAATGGCCGTCCACCTGAACAGCGCCTGTAGTAGCACCTCACCGTTCCTGGACTTACTACCTCTATACTGAGCCAACCTAAATATATATAGTCGGACGGTCAACGACAAGTTTAACATGAAAAAAAAAAAAAATTAAAAGCGTTACCTTTACTAATTGGAAGCCAGATACATCGTACTCGAAAGTGACAAGGAAAAATAGGCGAGGCACACCGATTCTGCTGATCTAGTCATGGACAATAACGGAAAATATCTCTATAAACGGAGTACTTGTTTTTCCTCTTTTTTTCGAATATTTTGCTTGTTAATTGTTATTGTCAAGGTGATGTACAATAATAAAAATTTATTTCAATAGTAGTCTGTCGTTAGTCTACGTATGTACTGAACAAGGAGTAAGCATCTCACTGTTAATTGTTTTCAATTGAAGCTTCTACTCATATCCCAGTCGTCTCGAAAGTTCGAAGAACCGTCCATTGAATGAATGGACCCTACCACACGAAGCCCAAATCATCTGAAGCTTTATGTGCGGTACCATAATTCAGCATTCTATCGCAGTGCTATCCTCCAGCACAAACTGTGTCAACGGTCGGCTTCGGGCTCAGACCGCTGCGGGTCTTCGAACTTTACGAGGCAAACACGCTGACCACTACGCCGTCATCTGAATCCCACCTAAACCTAATTATAGACTATAATAATTAAATTCTAATTCCCTGTCGGGATTTCTCAGTTAAACCAAGCTCGGCATTTCCGGTGAACTATCATATTTACGCGAACCAGATTTACACTTACCCGCGGCTCCAGGACCCCTTCTATAGGTCTTCATTTCAGTAGAATACGCTTCGTCCGCTATCGGCAGACTTATCGGGGCACTTTCATGGCTTTTCCTCCACAGAGACTGCCTTAGTCCTTACCTCACTGGACATAAATCGTTGATATCGCAGCAA